GCTTCCTATTTATATTTATTAGAGAACGAAATGGCACTACAAACAATGATAAATCCAAGTCTCTAGTAATTTCGTAAGTTTAATACTTCTTTGCAATATGGAATTCATGCTTCAAATATTCATTCTACACAAGTAGAGTACTTTAGCACCTATGTTTCTTGGAGTAGTTTTCACACCCTTGCTGTTATTCTATTTATAACTTCATTTTTACACAGACCGGGGAAAGTCAGTGTGAGAGTCATTAAAATGTAATGAAATATAAGACAGATGCCCAGAAAACACTCATTTCAAAACCATTTCTAGTACTGTTTATAAAATTGTTTTAAAGTTACATTTTAAATGCAATATAGGCTTCAAAATAATTCATTTCTGTATTAGCCCCAGGTGTTTTCAAACCTGAAAAGAATATTAAAAGCAGGTCCTGACATTCTAAACTGCAATTGAATCTCCTTCCACACAGCACAAATGACCAAATTACAAGACTTAGAACACGCACTCAACTCCACCAACAGAGTTTGTGGATACACGCTCAATTACTGACCTGCCATCCACTGTCACAATTGTTTGCTCCACAAACACTGCGAATCCCAGATACAAAACAAGCAGTAGGAACCTAACAGCAGCGTTTCTTTCCATTGAGAAGACAGCCAGTCCCTCCACACCCAGGACATCTGCTCCTCTGGTCCACTGGGCAGTCGGACGCCCACGCGCTGCCTGGCAGGGTGACGGGCAGCAGATCCAGCCAACCGGGGGCGGGATTCACCACTCTGTTGCTGCACCGGTACCCACGGGAGAAATTCTTCGCGTGCTCAGATTTATTCTGACGGCAGACACCTACCACTGGCACGTTCCAGCCCCCTTGTGAATTAAAGATTACACGTCCTGGGGAAATTGTACCAGGATGTGAGCTGTTTGCTAAGGACAAAAGAAATAAAATCAGATGGTCTCTCCCGGCTTTAAAATCACACTGAAGAGCACTTCTTATCTGTACTCAACCCTAACCTTAAAGAAAGGTGAAGGTGCTATTTCCAAACAGCTCTGAAATTTCTCCTTCCGTCTGATAGCCAGAGAAAGAATTACATGTATTTTGAAGTCTTATAATACCTTCAGAGTAATAGTATTATCCCCATTTTACAGATTGAGAGCAGACAGAGCAAGCTTAGAAGTCAAATATTTGGAAGTTGTTTCCCTTCTTCAGCGCTAATTCAGTTTCTGCATGTCCAGCTTTCTGGCTCAATTGTTTTTATACTTACAGGTGACTCTAAGCCAGACCACAGTTGTTACATGCCCACAAAATTACAGTGCCTCCGTTTCTGGTCTGTCAGACAGAGACACCAAGGTACACGCACATCACTGTGAATGCAGCAGGTTGGTTCTGGGACGGGTCATTCTCAAAAGATACGATGGGTCGCAGGCATGGGTACCTCTTCTGCAGACCCTCTGTCCTCATCAGCCTTCTCAAAATACACATCAGCTGTGCTCATGATGGCAAAGAAGAGAGCAAGGCACGTGAGCTGACTCCTCAAACCCTATGACCCACATGCATTCTCCACACATTGCTCACTAACTGCAGCTTGCGTTCGCAGTGTCTACACAGGACCGGGAAAGCTGAAATCAGGATACTTACCGGTGGACCAGGTGCAACGACAGTGCTCTGCAGCGCGCTCATATGCAGTCTGGCCACCTTCACGAACACAGCCATGGATCTGCAACCAGTCTGGAGGGAACTCTGGGGCCCAGGCAGAAATGGATTCCTCGTACCCACCTTCAGCGTGGGCAGCTCACTCTCGAAAGGAAGCTCGTACCAGCACTTAGCTGACATTTAGTCACACTGCACCCTTCTCCACTTAAATATCAGTCACAACCTGCTCCTGCTAACAGCTGTGTGTATACACCTATCTATGTACACGCAACCCCCCCACACACCCACTGCTTTCTTGTTCGGCAGCTGATGTCAGCAACCTGCTGATGTGATCACACAGTAAGCCCTACTTCACTGATTAAAAGCTCCTGTCTATTGCATTCCAGATACCAGATAAAGATAGGGGGGTTAGCATCGTAACTATTAAAAAGGATTTACCATCTTAATTCATTTCTCTTTCAGTGATACAGCATATTGACTAATCTTAAAACTCAACAGCTTGTCCTCAGTAGCACTGCTTCTATCCAATTTAAGGGGGAAGATGGATACTTACGTGAGAATCCCAGCTTGAAAAATGAGATAAGGGAGCATAGTGATAAACAAGGAGCAGTCGAAGATAATCTCTAAATTTTATGTGAAGCACCAGAAATGTATGACGCTAAACTTGGAATCACTACACTAGTACAGAGACATGGCTCAGCTGAAAGTTTTAAGCAGCCCTGGAAGAAGGCAGAAGTGCCACACACCTTGCTAAAAACTGCAAAGCCACTAATGTCACTGGCCTGTTAAACATTTCGGTACTCCTGACCCATAGTCCCTCCTAAATAAATGGGGGGGAAAAGGCACAGACAGGCTTTCTGCTGATGCCTTGAGATTTCATTCATGTGCTGCTATCTTCTAAGTGTTCTTCATCAGCATGGGAGCAAAAGCCAAGAAATAAAAATGCTGAAATACAAACCACTACGGCACAAATGAACAAATAATGTGGCCTTTGAGGGCAGAAAAAGTGAGAGAAAGTAGTACAAACAACATGTGGCAGCCCACAGCTAAAGTCAGTACAGGCTGAATCCATGATAATGTCCTCTAGTCCATTCTGTGACAACAGAATGTACCTTTAACTGCACTTCCAGCCTGTGTGTTTCCATGGTGCTACCGATTTCTAGAGGGAACCTGCCTTCTTAGACCACCGTTTCACATAGTCAAAGAAGGGAAAAGTACATGTCAATTTGCTCAGAAACAAAGGGGGTTTTGCAGACAACCAGGGAAACATGTAACGCCAAACTGCTAACATAGGTTAAACCAGTACAAACCAGTGAAAATATACTGACTTCCTCACTATACACTAATATGTATATTACTATATGATTACTATATGATAGTAATTCACTAATCAGCAGTCATCATCTGAAATAATGGTAGAAGCAAAGAGGATGAAGAAAAGTCTTTCCTTACCTCTTGACACCTGCTAATAGTAATAATAACAACAACAACAATAACAATATTAAACGTTTGATACAGTTCTTAAAAATGTTGCTTTTTTATGAGGTTCAAGCATAAACAGACTCACGTGGTATCTAGAAAGAAATGAGATCTACTGAAAGCAAAGAAATCATCCTAAGCATTTACTTCATTCTGGTGAAGAATTATGACAAAATCACCATCTCTGCATTAATGTTTAATAAGAAAACTTGAATGGAGCCTTACATGCAGTAGTCCTGGCAAGGGCATGATTAGGTAAGCTCTTGTGATTCAGTTGATGAATTGCTGTTGTACATTTGCCTGTTTTACATTGAAATCAACCAAAGCAAGCTTGCTCGGCCACATGCTTCAACTATATACATACACAGTGGACAAAGGGTGAACAGAGGATCACGGGCAAAGCCCACGCACTGTTTTATGGAAGACATGAGGTCGCATTCAATTTCACAAAGGCATCTGATGAACGTCCTGCAGGACAAAGTCAATGGCAAGTCAACAGTTTTGTTTACATCCTATACGATGGGCTACGGTGGGCTATAAGTGGCCAATATTCCAAATAAGAAGATTAAACTGCTGTTTATCATCTTTTTTCCCCCTCTGGCAGTAAGTTTTTGCTCATTATTACTCTTCATGAGAAACGCATCCTTTGATGAGTCCTTTGATACAGCAGCTACCACTTAGGTTTTTTTTACTTAGTATCATGGCAGTTCAGACATTTCCACCACCAGGGAGGAGGCACAGGAGGAGATCTCACTGTACGTTAAACACTGCCCTTTTTTTGGATCTACCTTGCAGAAAAGGTAGTTGAGAAAGCAGCTGGCAATTATATTCAGCATAAGTGTTCACAGTTTCGTGAGGTTTGTGAAGCAATCAGAGACTGATAGGTTAGACAGTTGATACTGCTGGCATCCCACACATCCCCGAATGTGTCACCACAGCCCAGCAAACCCCTTGTCAAATGGGATGGTTACATAAATGTTGATGGACACCCTGAGATGACAGCTGTTCTGCCCGATGCTGCAATGATTATACGCACACTGAGTTTGCATGCAGTGAATGAGACTGCAGACATAATTTTAAAGATGGATAATTTATCTCTTTGGCTAGCATCTCCTCAGGCAGACAACAGCATGATCTATTTTCAACTCAGTCTATAGCTACCTTCAGATGACATATCCAGGCACCGTGAACTGAGCAGCTTTCTAAAATAACGTCTCAGCTGAGGTATGAGGTATCAGCCACTGTACAAGGTACTAGCACTTAATATGTCATTACTCTTTTTTTACTTTGAGACATGCATTGTTCCTCTGATTCGGACATATTCACAATGCACTGACAATGCAACAGAAGCATGGACAGAAAATTGGCCTTAATATATATTAAGACAAGAAAAAGCTTGTCTCAGTTCCAACAAAATCCTCTCTCTGAGCAACTAATTTGCCCGCAGGCCTTTCAGCCTTCATCTCCACCACACAGGCTGGGATGATGCAAAAATTAATCCTGTTACCACCCTCTTTCCTGCCTCCCTTCTGCTCCTTGCACCCTTCCTCACAACTCCAAAGGATGTCATCCTACCCCAAGAAATATCCATACAGACTCCAGGCCCTACCACAGCTGGTCTGGATGGAGACTGGATCACGAATGAAGCTTCCGATTCTTGGTCTACCTTCAGGGGAGGAGGGACAGGACGGACTACACAAAAAAAAAAAAAACCCCACAAAAAAAGCTCAGTCTGTGTTACTAGGTAGATTTACCACCGTGGAAGGAGGTCCCAACACTTGTGTATCTCGTTCGTAGACCATCTAAGCCTAGTTCGTTTTACACCCACCAGCGTTTTGTGAAGCACTTGCCGTTCAAGTGAGGGAAAGCCACAGGCTCTGAGGTACCAGACAAGGTAGTCAAAGCCCCAATTCTCCCTCTTTTTTCCCTTCAACCTCCTCCTTTTAGTTCTCCCTGCCGGAAGAGGCGCATGAGGAAACACCCGAAGCCTTTCACCCGCCCGCAGGCGGGGCCGCGCTAAGGAAACGGGG